TCGGGCCTGACTCCCCTCGGGGGAGGGCCACGTGGCATCGTGGGGTAGCCTCCTCCCTCTAAACCTAATATTCCTGGGCCCATATCACCGACAGTAGCCCCCGGCGTTAGCCCTGACCAAAACTTTTCCTAGGTGGTCAGGGTTGACGCCACTCTGTTAGTCAAATGACATGTGGACCAGATCTCTTATTCTTTCTTTGCTGGCACTAAGACCCATGCGCCTTTTTCGCCCCAGCCTGAGGGTGACTCGCTAGCCCGTGCCTTAGGCTGTGAACTTATTTTCTGTATATATTCAGCAAACGTTGTTAGATTATCTCGGGCCCGTGACCTTACGCTTGCCCCTGCCATTTGTTAACCTCTGTTCATGTTCTACTTCATCTATTCAAACGATTATTTTCGCGAGTGTGAGGAATGAACTTTCCATAGCCAGCAATCTTCACCCGTGATCAAGCTAAGCTGGGCGCCGTAGCCAGCCGGCGGGGCCGAAGCCAGCCGCTACGGAAGAGCTAGCACAGGGGGCCCCGGGCGTCGACGGTACCCAGAGCTCGACGCAGGGCTAGGATAGAGCTAGGAATCGTAGCCCCCACACTTTAAGCAAAGAATCGTTTGAATGGATGAAGCGAATACAAACTTTTTGTTACCAAGGGAGGCAAGCCTGCGCGCGACACATAGGTACCGTGGGACCGCGAGGAAGAGATAGGCGAGAGATAAATATAAGCAAGAATAATTCTATGCAAACGATTAACTTCGCGCAAGTGTGAGGACTGAACTTTCTATAGCCAGCAATCTTCGCCTGCGATCAAGCGAAGCTGAGCGTCGTAACCAGCCGACGGGGCCAAAGCCAGACGCTACGGAAGAGCTAGCACAGGGGGCCCCGGGCGTCGACGGCGTCCAGAGCTCGACGCAGGGCTAGGATAGAGCTAGGAATCGTAGCCCCCACACTTTTAGCAAAGAATTGCTTGTATGAATGAAGCAAACACAAACCTTGCTTGCATATCGCGACCTTTCAAACCTTTAGCTCGAAGAGGGCCCCCCACTATGGGTTCCGAACCATCTTGGGAAGACTGTGACCACTTAGCAAACGAGGTCAGGTTCCCACGAGCCTGTGTCCTCACGCTACACATTTTGTTTGCTCTTTTCTTTCGGTGGCCTCCTTCCAATCTCTTTTCCTTTTACATGGACGATTACTTTCGCACGAGTGTGAGAGCCGAAAACTCTAGAGCCAGCAATTCCTGTCCACAGTTGAGCCAGGCCGGGTACCATGGCCAGCCGGCGGGACCAAAGCCAGCCGCTACGGAAGAGCCAGCACAGGGGGTCCCGGGCGTCGATGGCACCCAGAGCTCAACTTAAGGCTAGGATAAGGCTAGAAGACTTAGCCCCCACACTTAGCGAAGAATCGTTCATGTAGATTGGAGAGAGGTTGGGCTCTTACCACCGAGGGAGCAAACAAATGAGCAACACGCGGGCGTCGCAGGGCCATGAGAATAGAATGGGGGGAAATAAATATAAGATTTCAAGCTGTACTAGGTTGATGAGTTGAAAATTTGAAAGTACTGAAAACATGAGAGGATGATTAGTTGAGCCGGGCCAGGCACCATAGCCAGCCGGTGGGACCAAAGTTAGCCGCTACGGAAGAGCCAGCACAGGGGATCCTGGGCTTTGATGGCAGCCGGAGCTCAACTGCAGGGGTCCTCCCAGGAGTGGACCGAGGCGGGCAGCAGGTTCATGAGCCAACCCCGCGCTTGGCCCCTGAGGGCCATGGGGAAGAAGTTCGCCATGACCCGGTCGTCACCCCCCATCGCCTCTATGATCGTCATGTGGATCTGGAAGGACTCAAGGGATTGACGCTGTCGTCGTACTTCTCGGTGAGGCTAGGCCGGAACTTTGGGGGCCATCGGACATTCCGAAGACTCGCCACAAAGACCTGGTAGCCAAGCTTACCTGGTGGGGATGTGGGGGGCCTTGCCCCCTGCCTGGGGTGGCACGACACTCCTAAGGATGCTGCGCCTTCCCCGTAGCGGTGGCGCGACACTCACCACGCCAGCACTCAAAAGAACCTCAAAAATCACGAACGCACCGCCTACCTGGCGCGCCAGATGTCAGAGAATGAACTCCTCCACCAGGGAACCGTGAGGCCCCCCTTTGTGAGTTCGGCCAGGGGCAGCGGGTGAGATTCGAGGGCTTGGTGAGCGGAGCTGTGTGATCTTGAGGGGGTTAGGCCCCTCCAAGACGATGAGACAAAATATGTTTATATAGGTTCGGGCCGCTGAGATGCGTAATACCTTACTCCTGTGCATGATTGATTGAATGTAGAACACAAGTGCTTGGGGTTGCGAGACCCAAGCGCCAGTTCGCTCGGAAATCCCCCCCCTCCACCACTAGGCCTGGACCTCCTTTTATACCTCAAGGGGTTACCACATGGGCCCAACAATCTAACCTAGCTCCGGTGGAGAAGTATTATAATCTTTGCATTAAATGCATGTCTTGTCTCTTGACTTGGGAAGCCAAGCACACGTCGTCTTGATGATGGGGCCTGTCAAATCTTGCCGCCTGACACGGGGGGTGCCCCTGTCAGTCACCATTTAACGGGTGAAGACTTCTGGACTCCTATTACACCGGGAAACGGGAGCTTTGCTTTGACCAAAGCGGGAGGACCAACTCCGGCTGGGATAAGAGGATGAGAACCTCTCATCATCATTATTTGATGGGATATGTCGGGCTGCACGTCGCCTGGCACACGTGATGGTGCGCCTAACATCTTGGGTCCCATCAGTCATTCGACCGGTCACAGACCGGTTAAGTGCACTGCACACCGCATAAAACGCGGCGTGGCGCGACCGCTCGGGATGCCATAAATGCGGGCAGGTGGGCACCTGGAGGTGGACACCTAACCCACCGTACGTGGTGACCTAGAGAGGGGGTCGGGGGAGCCCGACCCCTAGTCACGGGAGGGGGCGGCCGCCGCCCGACCTCGGGCCCGATCGCCCCTCGGGGGGGAGCCACGTGGTGCCTGGGGCGGCCTTCTCCCTCTAGTCTCGGCCAGGGAGTGGCCGCCGCCCTACCTCGGGCCTGACCCCCCTCGGGGGAGGGCCACGTGGCATTGAAGGGCAGCCTCCTCCATCCAGTCTCTGGGAAGGAGTGGCCGTTGCCCTACCTCGGGCCTGACTCCCCTCGGGGGATGGGCCACGTGGCATCGGGGGGCAGCCTCCTCCGACTAGTATCTGGGGAAGGAGTGGCCGCCACCCCACCTCGGGCCTGACTCCCCTTGGGGGAGGGCCACATGGCATCGGGGGGCAGCCTCCTCCCTCTAAACCTGATACCCCCGGGCCCATATCACCAACAGTAAAGGTTCCAACGAGGATGAATGAAAACAATGGTAGATCGAGAAAGCAAATAAAGCGATGAAAACGAAATAAGGCGTAGTAATTGGCATGACTATTAAAAACACGGGGATGATAAAGTCGGTCTTTTAAAGTTCTAACATAAGATAGTTATTTAATAAAATCATATGTAAAAAAAGATAATTTTGTATGGGTGCTAGCCGTATAATAGCGCAGGCCACCTAGCTAGTTTTAATCTAGAATCCATAAAAAGTATATTTTAGAAATATCTAAAATTCAAAATTTAAAAATAATTAATAACTATCACATATATACAATACAATATGAATATATCACATATATACAATACAATATAAATATCACGCATTAGTTAGTTCGTGATTGGTTAGTTTGGTTAAGTTAGTACATAATTTAAAGTTATGTTGCTAGTTTTAATATATTTTAATCATAAAACGTGAAAATATTTAAACTATTATATGAGAAAAAAATAAAACGATGCTAGCCACATGTTTTATGCAGAGTATTATACGGAAAAAAAATAAAACGATGCTAGCCACCCGATTTATGCGGGCCACTCTGCTAATTGCTAGTAAAGGAAAAAAAATGCAATCTGACCGACGAAGTGGTACGGAGGGCACTAGAGATCGGGCGCCCGATCCGGGGAGACAAAAAATCGGGCGGCCGTCCGGCCGTCCCAGCCATCCGATCCGGGAGAAAGAAAATCACAGGACCCAAAACTACTACACGCATGCACAGAGAGATTATTTTTAGGCACTGCATGCACAGAACATGCAGCCATGCATGTGTCAAGTTTTTTAAATAAACTTTAAACTAATTTTTCTCAAAAATTACTTATCCAATTCACGATCCGATTGCACCACTAAACTCGTTGCAATTAAATCTTTAAAACAAGACCACACATTAATATAATCCGATGAAAAAAAAATTAGCTTATTATTGAATTATTTTTAAATATTGCACGCTGTTCCGCCAAGTATATAGAAATTGTTCCACTAAGTAGATAGTAATTATTTCACTAGGTAGATCAAAAATATTTCAATGATTTAAAAAGTTGAAACACAACCAAATCACCTCGTAAAACATTTTGCTACAACGTATGAAACAACAGTTTCTCAAAAAATTGGGCGTTATTTCACTTTATATAAAAACAATATTTCAGCAAATAGCGAAAAAATGTTTCAGTTCACTGCAACATTTGAGCTATACGTAGTGAAACATTATAAGTACATTAGGTGAAACATTTTTTGTGGAACAAAAAATGAAACGAATTCCCTTAATAGAGGGTTTCTAAAATATGTGGGTGATTTGTTGTAAAAGAATGTTTCAATTCGCTGTAACATTATATCTATACATAGTAAAACATTGTAAGTACACTAGGTGAAATATTTTTTATGGAACAAAAAATAAAACGAATTCCCTTAATCGAGAGTTTCGAAAATATATGAGTAATTTGTTGTAATAGAGTATATGTAGGGACACGTGACGAGGGCGGCAGAGGACAGGTGGCGGGGCGGGGCGCGCGCGCGCGGTGGGAGACGCCAGGGCTGGCGCCCGGCGCCCGATTTTTTGCAGCCGCGCCGGCGCCCGACGTTTAGGATTTTCGAAGTGGTACGGCCCCATTCCCATTCAAAAGCTCGCGAAAATAAAACCACATTCCCCTCCCATAAAAAAATAATATGTTCATCTTTACTGTGATAGATCAAAGGCTGATATTCGGAAAACACTAATAACATAATTAAGAACATCTCCCCAAAGTTTAAATATGTAGATATGTACCCAGCTGATTCATGTACATACCTAAAGCACAATTTGTGTGCATCATCAACAGGACGTAGAAGTTGCGAGGAGAGCTCCCTTGTTCTTGTTCTTGTACTTGAACGTGACGGCGAAGTAGCCGTAGGCGAGCAGCTCGAGCGCGCTGAGCGCGGCGATCAGCCAGTAGAAGTAGTCGAGGTGGGCGCGGTTGAGGTTGTTGGAGAACCAGCTGCCGCCCCTCGCCGCCGTCGCCCGGTCGATCCCGGACACGAGCGCGCTGCTGATGAAGCTGCCGACGCCGAAGATGCTGAGGTAGAGCGCCAGCCCGAGGCTGCGCAGCTTGTCGGGCACCTGGTCGTAGAAGAACTCCTGGAGCCCCACCATGGTGAACACGTCCGCCGCGCCGAACAGCACGTACTGCGGCACCATCCACCACAGGCTCATCGGCACCGGGACGCCCGCCTTGTCGACGAGCCCGGCGTCCCGCGCCGCCCGCAGCCGGCGGGTCTCGACGAGCGCCGCGATCACCATGGACACCAGGGACAGCACCATCCCGGCGCCGATCCGCTGCAGCATGGTGATGCCCGAGGGGACGCCCGTGTAGCGGCGCGCCACCGGCACGATGACGCGGTCGTAGACCGGGATGATGGCCACGATGGTGATGCTGATGAAGCTCTGCAGCGCCGCCGGTGGGACCTGTATATGGTCGCCGATCCGCCGGTCCAGCGTCCCCGCCTGCTTCGTGAAGAACGTCGACGACTGCGCTAACGCCACGGCGTAGATCAGGCACGTCGCCCAGATCGGGAACAGCCGGACGATGCCCTTCGCTTGCTCCACGAGGCCCGCCTTGCCCACCACCTGTTCGTCCTCCTCTACTCCCGTGCTACAAAATTGCAGACAAAAAAAATCATGTTATCGAACACCATATGTGCAAGATTACCAGATGCGTGAAGACGCATTGCAGCGAGCATTACTGGTTTACCTGAACTCCGGCGCCGATGTCGCCGTTGGATGGCACTCCTGCGAAGCCGGCGGAAGAAGGGGGATCGACTTCGCCCTGTTTCGCCACGCCGCGAGTGCCTCGCCGGCGCGAGCGACCACGCCCTTCTTGCTGCCGGAGACGTAGTAGCGGTACGTCCTGGTGCCGAGCAGGAACACGGCGAGGGCGCACGCCATGACGACGCAGGGGATGCCGAAGCCGAGGCCCCAGCCGATGTTGTCCTGGACGTAGCTGAGGAACACCAGCGTGACGGCGGTGCCGCCGCACATGCCGAAGTACCACCAGTTGAAGAAGGAGCTCCTGGAGACCGACTCCTCGGGGTCGCTCGGGTCGAACTGGTCGGCGCCGAACGCCTGCACGCACGGCTTGTGGCCGCCCTGCGCGACGGCCACCATGTAGAGGGAGATGTAGAAGAACGCCACCCGCAGAGTCGACGGTGGGCAGGTCTTGCCGCCGGCGACGGCGGCGCTGCTGCATTGGTTGCCGCCGGTGGAGATCAAGGTCGAGAAAGCTAACATGGCCAAGCCCTGCACGCAGTATCGCGCTGAGTGATCAGTGATGTAGTACGTTGCCATACGCGCGCGCAGATGGCGGCGAAGTTGGAAAGGGAACAATAGTAAAGCATTTTATAATTGGCAAAATTTGTTACAGGACACCTAAAAAATATGTAATTAGCTATGAGACATCACAAAAACGTAAATTTGCCCAAGGACACTTCAAAAGTGTGGTAATTTGCTGCAGGACACTAGACGTATTAAAATATAATATCAACCTAATTGATGAGAGAGAAACCACATCAAATGACCGTTTTGCCCTTATCTTCTTCCCCTCTTCCTGCTGTTCTTCCGATGCTTCCGAAAAGAATAAACACCAAACCAAATAAAATGCGCCGGCGAGCCGCCCCATGGCTCCTCACACTTGAGGCACACCCTGAACACGCTGCTCGTTATCACGTGCACGGGCATGGTGTTGCCCATCGCGAGCGCCTCCAATCGCGTGACCACGCCGCTCGCCGGCTCGCGCGTCGTGAATCACATGCCACCCATGCGCGCCATGGCTCGCCCTTGCGACACGGCAGGGTCGTACGCACGAGCAACGGCGACAAGTCAAAGCCCTTGGAAGGGACATCAGGTGGAAGGCGTTCAGCACCTTGCGCAATTCATCCTTGTCGTTGTCGACATTGCCAAGCATGTCCACTGGCTCCTGCGCGAGCTTGGTGAGATGGGTCACAGAACATGTGCCATCTTCCGGAACCACTGCATCTTGTGGAGGCCGGCGAAGGTGATGCAGGTGTCTGGGTTGAGGTCGAACAACATCTTGATGAGCTTCCGTGCGTCCGTTGTCAACCACGTCGGGCAGCTGAAGTCACCTGCCGCATCTTGTGATAGATGCACACCAGGTTCTCGTCTTGGAACAGTAGCGCGCCGGCGAGCAATAGAGGATGATGCTACAGGACTAGAGGTCGGCCTTGGTGCTATCGTAGCCACCCGGCGAGCACGTCGGGGACAATGTACGTCGGCGTGCCACAAGCGGTGTGGAGGAGCTCGTCGGGGCGCGCATGGTAGCAGACTGTGCTGAGCCCGAAGTCGGAGGTTCTCAGCCTAGTTAAGCAGCAGGTTCTCAAGCTCAAGGTCACAGTGGTACACCCCGCTGATGTGATTTGGTTTTTGTTCTTTTTAGAAACGTCGGAAGAAGCAAGATAAAGATAAGGGCAAAATGGTCATTTGATGTGGTTTCTCTCTCATCAATTAGGTGGATATTATATTTTAATGCGTGCAGTGTCCTACAGCAAATTACCACACCTTTAGAGTGTCCTTAGGCAATTCACGTTTTTGCGATGTCCCACAGCTAATTACACATTTTTTAGGTGTCCTACAGCAAATTTTGCCATTATAATTTTATCGAGGAATGCAAAAGAATTGAAGGCCCAACTTATGCACATATCGGCCCACAACTTCATCTGTAATTAAACAGGAATAAGTTCACTTTGTATCCCTTATCTTGAGGTTGAGTTTAAATCACATCCTTAGAACCATAATAACAGATATAACAGGTTTCAACTGATGAAACCAGTGCAAATAGACTCTCTTAGTGGTTTGTGGGCAATTTTGGCTGATGTGGAATCCTAATCGGTGATGAGGGATGTGAAGTGAACAATTCATTAGTTGAGGGACACAAATGGCGCGACGGGCCAGTGTACACCTTACCAGATGCTATCATGTAAACGATGAATATAAAGAGCCCGAGTACAACAAAGTACTAGGTGATGTCCCATCCAAATCTATAGGGTCATTGTTTGGCTTATTGAGGAAAAAAGCCAAATGACATAATTGCAAACAAGAAATGATTTGTGAATAAAATTTTTATATACATGTTTTTAGTGATCTAAAAGCAAATGATTCAAATTTTGACTTATCTACCCTATAATTCACCAACTCATTTTACTCATCTTTCACTCTTACACTCTTACATTCATCACTCAACGGTTCAGATCGTCCATATAAAATCGAACGATCGAGATCGATCCAACCTCCCCCCCTCCCGGAATCGCCGATTCCACCTCCCACCTCCTGAATCGCGCACGCCCCACTCTCTCTCTCGCTCTCCCAGATCAACGTCTCCTCTCCGCCCCTAACCACGCCGCCGCCCTAATCGCCGCCTGCCGCGTGCCGCCGCCTTAGATCCTTCGTCGTCAAGGGCGCCGGCTCGCGCCGCTCGCCGCAATCTCCATAGCCGTTCTCATCTCTCCCCTGCTGCGGCTGCCTTCAATCCTCCGTGGTCAAGGGCGCCGGCTCGCCGTGGTCTCCATCGCCGCCCTCATCTCTCCCCTGTCGCCGCCTACTATGAGTCCTCGACGATGGTGAAGCGGTGGCGCGGTGATCTCCGTTGAAATCGACGTGCAGCGCGGCATTTCTGTCCGAGGTGGCGCAGTGGCTGGAGCGAAAGGCGCCTCGCCGGCATGACGTGGACTGCAGCGGATCTTCGGCAACATCACAGCGCCATTGCTCCATCTTCCATCGGCAATTGTGCTCCTCGTTGGCAAGTGGCGGCTTGAACAGTAGCATGGCGCTCCCCGGCGACCGATCTGTGTGGCAGCTCTAACGATCTTTGTGCTCCCCTGTTTGTGCTGCTAATCTCCATTGAGATCAGGTCAATTTTCCCCAATTTTGTTGTTTCCAATTGGAGAGTTTCTGTAGATATGTTTCCAATTATAGCGTCGTCTTTTGCTCATATATCATTTTTGTTTAGCGAAAATATATGATGAAAATTTGTATGTGTGGTATAGAAAAAAAAATTGCAATCATAAAATCATATATATAGCCTTTCTGGTGTAAATGCAGTCAATAGTAGGGAATCTTTCCTATGTGGTCAAGGGTGCTGGCTTGCTGGGGTCTCCGTCACCCTGACATCAGGTTGCCGTCGATCCATCGCCTTCATATTTTGTTGGGTAAGAAACAAATCAACGATTCTTCAACAATTTGAGTTTGCAGTATATGGAGTGTTATATCGACTGAAATATTATTTTTTATTCTTTTGTTTGTAACCTCAAGCTTCCCAGATTGCCAATTCCTGTGCCAGATTGTTGGTAGTTTGTCTACAGAGGATTCTGTACTGGAAAACATGTCAGGGCAGTGTGGGGTTGTGCTGTATGTGAATACATGTTTCTTTGAGAGGGAGGAGCATGAGAGAGAACGCCAGTTTTTTTTTGGCATTCTCAACTAGAATGAGAAATATGAATACACTGTTCGAATTTTGGAAGATGTGAATCTGCCAAGATGTTTGCCAAGCTCTACATACACCATTTGTTTGCTAAGGTGTTTTCAGTAAAATTCCTTTGGGCAACTGTGACAATGGTAAATCAAGAAAATGATGGTAATTTACCAAGTGCTTTTCTACCAAATTACATCAAACGTTGTATATATTTTCATGGGCCATATTGGAAATGTTGTTTTATGGCTAATATTAGCATTCTTATTTTTCAGATCCGATAAATTTCAGGTTGCAACTTACAAGGATCGGTTTTTGTAGGACTACCAAGTTGCCTAGGATTTTTGGGTAAGGATTATTTGTTTTTCTGATGCGGATCATGGAAATCGTGTGAAAAATTATCCAGATTCTGGTCTTGAATTATACTTGTCAAAACTAACAAGATTATATGAATATCTATAAAAATAACTCCACTGTTTCTTTTTGTGTGGACATATATTGTATATTGAAGTGATTATATATAATTGTCGATGGTCATGGATTATTATTTTCATATAGTAATAATATCAGGTATGCTGATTTAGAAAGCTTTTGGTCTAGAATATTCTGATTTTCTCTCTTTCTAAGGCCAAGCTATGGTATTTTTGATTCACCTCAGTTGCAAATTGTAATGAGTTTTATTTGTATACATCCAAATGAAAATAATACTTCCTCCGTGCAGCCAGCATGTGCTGTAGAGATTGTATTAAGCAGCCAAAATATCATGTGCTCATCATGTAAGGCGGTCGGAGTCAGAGAAAAGAAGTGGATCAGTTAATATAACATCTCTAAGCATTTTTGCTTTTTAGTTGTTTGCTAGCATAATTACTTTTTGTATTTTGTTGTTTCCTAGATGTTTCGAAATTTTTGATGAACGATTTCGGTCGCGACTTATTTGCGAATATGATTATGTATTATTTGTTACATACATACATACATACATATATATATATATATATATATATATATATATATATATATATATATATATATATATATATATATGTATATATATGCTTGTAAAAACGTGACTACGTGCATTACCAAATGTTACCGTAGCTTTAGTATGGGTATGCTACTGTAAAAGGATATGTAAAAAGATGAGGCTGCTAGATTGGTTTTTTTTACATTGAAAGTAGAAATTTTTGTATTATTGCGAATTTAAAGTGCAGGGCGTGCGTAACCGTATTTGCCCAGAAACTCATCAGTGATGTGCTCTCTCTCCTGGGATAGAATCATCGATCATTTCCCTCTAGAAAAATCAAAGTTGATGGCTTGATTTGCCTTCGTCATAGAAAGGGACCCTCTTCGTCGTGTTCCACGATCAAACGAGTAGGTTAGTCGATCCCCGACGAGACCTCACCAACCACTCGAATAATTTTTGCGATCTGGCTCCTAATAACTCTCAGTGCTACAGCTGCTACTGGCTTAACAAATATCTTCATGGAAGAAACATGCTCACGCGAGTCACGAGCCAAGAACCAATTCCAAGCCATGGATAGCTTTCAGAGATCTCCGGTGTGCTGCTGACACGTGGGCCCCGCGCTAGCGCACTCCTGAGATCTCTCGCCCATGCCGAACAAACGGGAATTTTTTTTCTCTCTTTTTTTTTCTATATCTAGGAGAGAAACAGACGAGAGAAAAGAAGAGAAAAAAAAAACAATGGCGTTTTGGTGGTATTAATTTACCAGGATGTAGAGCAGCGAGGCGAGGAGGATGGTGCGGTAGCGGCCGAGCCAGGAGTCGGCGAGGGCGCCGCCGAGCAGCGGCAGCAGCTGGGAGACGCCGTTCCAGGCGTTGATGGCCGCCGCCGCCGCCGCGTTCCCTTCCCCGAGCGAGCCCGTCAGGTAGGTGATCAGGTTCGCCGACACCCCGTAGAACGCGAACCGCTCCGCGATCTCCACCGCTGCAGATCCCCCAATAATCCATGTCAAATTCACCACCACACAACTCGTACGCATCGATGATTCTCAGTTCTGGCCTGCCAATCGAGCGCACTACTTGCCTATGATGAAGAGCGCCGACCTCCAGCCGCCGGTGGCGCCGCGGAGGGCGGGGCGGCCGCGGTGGTCCACGGGGGCGGCGGCGGCGGCGGCCACATCCCCGTCCGCCATGCCGTCGTCCAGTGCGAGCAGCGGGTCGTAGGAGCCGGAGTCGGAGCCGGAAGGCATCGTCGCCGGCCGGCTTTGACACTATATATATGGGCAGCTCGCTCTCTCTCTCTCACGCACACAACTAGCCGCAGCTCGGCCGAAACTTTCGCAGTCAATGCCTACTCACTCACACCTTGGCTTGGCGGCGGCTAAAATAAGCAAAGCAGCATGAGAATCGGCCGGGAATGGATCTCAACAGAAAATAAGCGCCAACTGGCGCGCTCGATTTATATCCCATTTATATTATTTTTGTGTTATTAATTAGCACATTGTTCATAAAAAATATAGAAATCAATTTAATTTCCTTGAAACTCATAAAAAATCGTAGGAATGGAATTTTTTGAGTTTAAGTTTAACATAACGGGTCATATTGTTGAGAAAATCATCAAATTTTCTCTTTTTTTCAATCCATACTATTAATTCTTCCATTGTTTTTCTAAAATTATAATTAAATTGTTTACTAATGATAAAATTGGTGTTGTTTTTTTTTAAAAAAAAGTGTTTCAGATTTTTGTTTTGTTAGGAGCCACAATGTTCATCATTTGTTTTGATGACATAACAATACTAAATTGGGTTTAAATCATAAACATTGTATAGGTGTTTGTATTGATGGCTAATTAGTGATGGGTGACATATATACGTTGATGATGAGTTGCATGTGGTGATTTCGCTGATTTTAGAAGAAAAAGAAGTTAATTTTAATTCCTGAACTATTTCACCGGAGTAGTTAACATACTAAATTGTTTTTTTCTTATTCAACATTTCTTTTTAATTTTTTTCCCACCGTTTATGCAGGTTGAAAGTACATAGGACTGATTTAAACATCAAAATTTTAAGTTCAAGCAAACAACCACATTTTGAAAAATATTTTTGAACTTTAATAATATTCTAATGTATGACTCCAACAAATTTCAGCTTAAAGTAAGAAAACTACAAAATATTATTAAGGAGTAAAGTGAACCATTTTTTACAGTTTAGGAGGTAAGATGAGCCAAAAAAATTAGATTTTTTAATAGTATTCATCGAATTAGTTCGGAGAAGTAAAATATTTTTTTTTATTTTGAGATATGCTAACTCAATTTTTCAAAGATGCTGATATGTATGAAAACTGAGTAGTTGTATATGCATTCAACATTTTTTTTGTAATACTAATGTACTACCTCAGTACTTATACATATGTAGAGCATGTGAGCTCTATTGACATAGGCATTCGCTGCTTTTGCCTAATCGATCCTTCCAGAATAGCCTTTCATCGGCATAGGAGGACTGGCCTGCCACAACCCTGTACTTCCTTCGTACTCCTAGACGCACAACTGCTCAATTCCTTTTTTTTTCTTTGTGCTCTTCGGATTTATGTGCCATGTGAGAGAGGACACGTGGACCAATCACTGCTGGCAGAAGCAGCCAGCATTAGAAATAAAGATCCGCGCCGCGCCGCGCCATATCGGATAGAGTCGGATACGATTATGTTGATATGTGAATACGATTATGTTGATAATATTTGGATAATTATTTTGCGTTTATTTTAAATAAAATTTTAAATTACTATTCTATCGTGGATCTGATATTTGAAATTGCGCTAAGCAAGACGGAATAGTTATCACTACTAGTACTATGGAACGAGGGGTCGCACTCGTCACGCGTCGCGCATGTTGGATTTGTTTGGTTCAATACCCTACCAAAATACTGGTATTGGCACAACCAATATTTTGGTAGGGTAGAGTTGTATTTGGTTTAAGGCCAATTTAAAAACTAAGCTTTTAGTGGAATATAGAAAATATCAAATTGGACCTTGGCATTGCCAATGATTTGGCTTCTAACCAAAACCACCAATACACTATTCAAACTACCAAAATGTTGGTAAGGCACGTTTTTAGCACTAGTCTAAAACACATTAATTTTGACAATTTGACTCTTTAAAAAACTAATTTTACAAATGAACCGCCGCCTATTTCAAAAGTAACCTTTTTTTCAACACCAAATGATGTGGCGCTGAACTTAAACACCTCAGCGCCACATCACCTGGTGCTGAATGCCGTGCTACCGTGGATGGAAGGCTGAGTCAGCGTGCCAACGTATATTCAGCGTCGTGCTATTTGGCGTTGATGTGTCTAAATTCAGCGCCACACGATTTGGTGCTGAACAGAAGGGTCACTTTTAAAATAAGTTTTGGCAGCAGTTTATTTGTAAAATTAGTTTTTGCAAAAGGTCAAATTGTCAAAATTAATGTCCAAAACGGCCCATTATACGCACGGGTGCGTGAAGCAACGGAGTTGCTAGAAATATGGCGCCATATGCTACAGTCGATTTTTTTTCAGCCACTTACACAGTAGTTACACCTCATTTACACCTCACTTACATATGTAATTAGTATGTAATTTTCGAATTTACATATGTAGTTTTAGTACTTACATATGTAATTTTGAGACTTACATTGTAAATACACTAAAATTACATATGTAATTTAGAGACTTACAATATAAATACATACCGACTATTTTTTGATGAAAAATATGGCGCCATAAATATAATATAACTACACCCTGAAGCAAAGCGGCCAGTTGACCAGGTGGCCGGTGACGGGGCCGTGGGTCGCCGGACATGCATGCATGGCTAGTCTTGGCGGGCGCCGGACATGGCTCATTGGCTGGCTGGTGTTGGCGACGTTGCGTGCTTAGGACTCGCGAGCTCTGGCAGTACGCTGTCAGCGTCAGCTGCGGTACGCATCTTGGGTGCCTCGGTTCTCCACCACGAATTTTGGTCAAAATGAGCAGACGCCAGACGGGCAGATTATTCTCGTTTTGAACGTTTTTGTACCGAGAGGAAGGTCAGTTGGGCTGTATGTGCACACTAATCTACAGTAGCAGTACTACGTTGTACCTTTCCTTTTGAGAGGACGTACGATACTCCAGTCCTACTGCGGTGTACATCCTCGGACAAGGCCGGGGTTCCCTCGGCTTCGATCTAACCAGTGCAAGTCTCTCATTCGAGTTACCTTAGATATCACGTAGGACAAATGCATATAGAATCCACTCATCTCACAGTGCAAGTTACTTTCACGGGATCCCCAAGCCAAACACCCTAACCCAACTACTGCTACATTTCCCTTTTACCGGCGCTTCTCTCTCCCACTTTCCTCGCATTCTCTCTCACACTTCCCCCATTTACCGGCGCCCAGCGGAGAGGAGGCGACATCCTCGGGCTCGTCCCAGCTTCGAGCGGCGGAGGGGTGATGATGGCGCCACGGATCTGGAGCGGCAGCGCGGATCTAGAGTGGAGCGGCGACGGTGTCCTCATGCTCGTCTCCAGGAAGCGCGGAGCGGAGCCTTGACGGCGCGGATCGGAGCTGCGCAAGAGCTCACCGGGGCCTCCGTTTCGAGGCGGAGAAGGGTGGTGGTTGGGGAGCTACCCAGCAGCACGGCGACGAGCTCCCCGGCGACACCGAGGTCGGCGAAGTGGAGTAGAGCATGGGGACTTAGGACGACGCCACCGCCACTCGAGATCTGCAACCGGTGCGATGGCTGGCGGTGTAGAGATCCGCCACCGAGGCCGCCTCTTGAAGCGAGGAGGAGGACAACCATGAGCGGTCATGGCGAGCGGCGGTGGCGTCGTCGACGGGATGACAGGAGGGAGGTGCGATCGTGGCGGGCGGTGGCGTCGTTGACGGGCTAACGGGAGGGAGGCGCGGTCGTCGGCGGCTGCGGTGGCACGGTCATGGCGGGCCCCGGTGGTGACTCCACCAGCTCCACGAGCTCCCCCGGTCGGCGCCCCTCCTCTCCCTTCATGACAGCACTTCAAACCGACGAGGCGGCGACGGCGGTCTGGAGCGCCCTCGTTTCGAGCGGCAATGGCACACGGTCGATCTGCTTGTGGCACCCTTGGCAACGGCAACCCCGACGGCTGAGCAGCTTCACCGGCTTTGGAGGACCACGGCCACGCTCACCACCAAGGCTGCACCGGCCTTTTTGCAGAGCAAGGCGCCAGGCTCTCGTTCCTCTAGAGAGATGCGAAAACCAATCATAGCTATGCGGCCCACTCGCTTTTTCCTCCACGTAGACCAGGTAACGCGCCACGAACTTGCACTGTGAAAGGGCTAGACAGGTCTTTTCAAGGCATGGCCAGATGGCCAGGTCCAGTCCACGAACATAGTAGGAACTAGTTGATACCCCGCACTTTGTTGTAAAATATGTAGATAAAATGCATGTTATACATTATAAAAAGAGATAATCCATTCTATGCCGTAGACAAAGCACGGATTCTACAATATACCACTGACAAAGCTCAGTTCTATAATATACCATCGAACAACTATTTTTCTTCCTTACATACCATCACCGCTAGTCAACAGCTAGTCAAATTCCGTTAAGAGGAAGAAAATGTCCATTTTACCCCCTAGGGTATCATGCGTACTCAGATTTCATTGGTCAAGATCCACTAATTCTTCTCATTGATGAAAAATAGAAATCACTTGTCTTTTTATCCTCCAAGATTATTTAATGAGTCATGACATTGTGCAAAATCTCAATTTTATCCTAGGGGTAAAATTGTCATTTTTTTCTCCCTTAACGGTGTATGACTAACGACTGACTAACACCGATGGCATATAAGGAAGAAAATGAGTCGTTCAATGGTATATTGTAGAACCGAGCATTGTCAATGGCATCTTGTAGAACCCGCGCTTTGTCGATGGCATAGAATGGAAAATAATGTATATGTTTAAATAATGTGAAAATGATCTGGAGATAATGATTTAACATTGCTTGCATATTGAGTTCTAAAAAATAACAAAATTATAAATGATTTGTCATGTTTGCATTATATTTAAACTACTTTAGATAATAATTGTTAGTGGATGATGATGTGGCACACTTGTATGTGATTTAAAATACTTTAGATAATAATTAATAGTGAGTGATGACGTGGCACACTTGCATGTTGATCTTTAGAAGTTAGTGGGCATCAACTATATAGATAGTATAGATAAGTTAATTTTTTGGTCTCTTAACTTGACACCAAGTTCGATTTTCAACCTTGAACCAAAAACCAGATACAACAAGCCTCCCAACTTACAAAACCAGTGCAAACGAGATCCCTCAACAGTATTGTTACCAGGTTTGGCTGACTTGGCACCTACGTGGCTACTTTGACTAGTTCTTCATCTCACATGATATTGATATGGCGCTTACGTGACAGTTTGATCCCGGAAAAAAATTTAAACCCATGGAGCCCACATATCAATTACAACAAAAAAAAATTACAGTGGCGACCATGTGGGACCCACATATCAACCGGTTGAGTTAGCGTGAGACCCATGCGGGCCCCCGCATGTCAGCCGCGGGTGAATCCTCAACCAGTCGACGCTCTCCTCGTGCATTAGTGGCGGTGGCGGCTGGAGCAGTGGCCGGCCCTAGGGAGAGTGGATTCGTTGGGCCTCAAGTGGATCTCGTCGCTGGGATGCCGACAATGATTTCCCTCATTGCGATGGTCATCGGCAGCGGTAGCCGGTTGATGATATCTTTTGTCTGACTGACATGTGGGCCCCATATTTTTATTTTATTTTTTATTTTTTTGCTTCTAGTGCCATGTCACTGTCACGTAGGACAAGGATCAAGTCGAATTAGCCACATAGATGCCACGTCAATCAAAACCGTCATTCAAACCGTATTGGGATCTTATTTGACTGGTTTTAACAATTGAGGGGAGAAGACCGAACTTGCTGTCAAGTTAAGGGAGCTAAATGAACTTATTCCAACGTACTATATGCGCATGAGGCCCATATTCCGATAGCAAGTCCGGCTAGGAATTATTTGGGCCTCACTCCTCAGGCTCTAAGTAGACTCTCCTCCTACTGGCTAGTGGCTACGTACTGCCCTTCCCTTTGCGAGCTTGTACTTACTTCCTGAATTGATTTGGCCGAGATTATTAAATCTTTTGACGGCAGCTAGTGATGTTAACAGTACAAGTGTATAACACCCAGAAAAGATGGGCAGAACAACACCTGTAACAAAAGTTCAGGTGTTTGGCATGCTTAAAACCAAAGGTAAACTTGCTGAAATGGTGAAACCACATGACACATATTTTCAGGTTTAGTGGAGTCCATCGCGTTGATGGGGTATATCTTTGGCCAAAAAGTGAACTCACTCTTCTCCGTTCAGCAGCGGGGAGCGTGTAGATTACAGCACGCATGCAAGCTTAGTGCTCGTCAGAGAACTAATCACTAATATATCCAGCCGCTGATTTCTCATCGAAGACATAATTAAAATTGTTTGCACGCTGATCTGATCACAGAAGCGATTGATGCATGCAAGGTGTGGCGACGTGGAGAGCCCAACACGGAACCACCAAGGATGGGGGGCGCACGCAGAGCTTGCTGTGCTGCGTGCTGCTGCTGCGTATGCGTGCCTCCTGGGATACACCGTGTGATAGATCTGGCAGCCCCATCCGACCTCTCGCCCTATAAATTGGGCTACCGGCCGGCGTCTTTTGTTCATCACCTCCACCTCGCAAACAGAACCAGTACTTTAATTTCACCTTGCAAATTCAGTTGAATTCGGCTCGTTCAGGTTCAGTCGTTTGATCATCATGGCCAGTATGGCCAAGTCGCTCTTGTGCATCTCGCTCGTCGCCATCCTGCTCCTCGTCGAGGTAATTAATCAGATATTTCAAACTGATCTTTTAACCTAAACGAAACGGTTTCCTGAATTGTATATATTTCAGTTACTGATCCGATCCTGTTTATTTCTTGTTTGGTCTTCAGACTACTGCTCCACATGGACAAGCTTACGCCATCGGTAAGCAATGCGTGATCTAGTTCAGTTTTTCTTTTCCCTTTTTTTCTGATCTGTGTGAGTGTGATGAACTGATGAGTTGCATGCAAATGTATGTAATCTCGTGTAGATTGCGGGGCGAAGTGCGGGTACCGGTGCAGCAAGTCGGGGCGGCCGAAGATGTGCCTGAGAGCATGCGGCACCTGCTGCCAGCGCTGCGGCTGCGTGCCGCCGGGCACCTCCGGCAACGAGAACGTCTGCCCCTGCTACGCCAACATGACCACCCACAACGGCCGCCACAAGTGCCCTTGATCATCTCGACCAATATATCACCGCTCGATCACCGCGCCGCCGCTTTGCTATCCAACCGACCGGTGATGATACATGGCGGCAACCTTGTGATGATCCTAGCTAGCTAGATGTGCTACCTACTTCGTGCCTGCATGCATGTAGCTTGCATATGCATGCTAGCTTTGCTATATCGCGTATTTGCTACTTGGAATATGTATGATGTGTGTGCATATATATGTGGCGTGTCGTGATCGATCGATCGATCGACCGTGTACGAGCAAATAAGTAATATAATGAAGTATTTGCTTTTATGATTAAATTGCGTAGCAACTTTTTCAGTTTTGCCTTGCTATGCATGGTTGGGAAAAGCTTGGGGTATAGTAGCGCGATTACTAGCAACGATGCACGAAAACCATTTTGTGCGTGTGCGTGCGTGTCAGCTATTCAGCAAGAGAAATCATGACTGGCACGGCTTACAAGGGAAGATTGCTCGTACGTACGCTAGCTACTCTCGATCACACGGGTGCATTGTAGCTTTGGCACTTCGCTGCATGTGACCAATATATGGCAGCAAATCTGGGTGCAGACGAGGCACTAGAAGAGTAGGTGCAGCCAAAACACGGGTCGGCGTCGTCAGCCACCGATCTACCAAACGCCTGACAGTGTTAAGCCAAACTAACCACAACTTAAACGACGGCGCAGAAGTAAACTGTCGCGTGCTCATGCGTAGCAGGGCCCAAGAATGCACTAACAAAGACAGAGGCCTAATCCATCGGGCCTGGCCCAGCTAGCAACGGAAGTGAACGCGGTAATAAGCTGCTTGTGGAATACGTTCACATTAGGTCCCTCAATTTGTCGCCCAGTCTGATTTTCATCCTCAGTTCGAAAAACCGGTATATTGCATCCCCCAACTTACAAAACCAGTGCAAACGAGGTTCCTATGTGGTATTGACCTCGGTTTTGACTGACGTGGATACGTGGCATCTTTTGACTAAGTCTTCGTCCTACGTGGCGTTGACGTGGCACTTATGTGGCAGTTTGATCCGGAAAAAATAAAATTGGAAAATAAAAAATTACAACAAAAGATGTGAGGCCCATATATTAGTCAAACAAAATAAAAATATGTAAGTGGGTCGTACTACCTCCACCTCACCCCCTCTCTCTATCCCCTATGGGTCCCAATGGGGGTCAATGGCGACGCAAGGCAGCAGTGGCGGAAGTGGCCTGCGAGGCAGCAAGGAGGGAGCTGCGGCGTTCCGGTGGCGGAGAAAAGGATGGAGGTGAGGGAGCCGATGAGCCGAAGGAGGAGGCCGAGCCGCATCGGGGCGACGCGGCTACCACCAGCAGTGGCGACGGAGGAGGAGAAGGCGCGGGTGGGGAAGGCGGCGAGGGCAGTAGGGTCAATGCTAGCAGTGCCTTGCGGGCAAGCCCTGGTGGACGGGGAAGGGTCGGGTTTTTTTTTTTTTTGGGGGGGGGGGAGGGGGCGGCGGCGGCGGTGGAGGGGCGGAGATGGCAGCTTCGATGTTGAGAATGACCGCTTCACCCGGCGCCGCCCACTGCCCCTATGTTCCACTCGGTGCCTGGCACCCGCCGTTGCTCCGCCCACCGCCCCGCCAACGCTCCGCTTCCACCCACCGCCCCTCTGCTCCGCTTGGCGCCTGCCGTCACTCTGCCCACCGCCCTCCGCCGCTCCACTTCCACCCGCCGTTGCTCCGCTTCCACCCTGCCGCCCGCCATCGCTCCGCCCACCACTCCACTTCCACTCGCTGCCCCTTTGCTCCGCCCACTACTTTGCGCCGCCGCTTGCCTTTTGCAGTGTAGGGGAGAAAGAGAGAGAGGGGGGTGAGGGAAGAGGGGGGATGACATGTGGGACCACATGGGCCCCACCTTTTTAAACTTTTTTGTGTGTGGTTGACATGTGGGTCCTACAGTTTTTATTATTTTTTGAGATCCAATTGACACGTTGTTGATGCGAAAAACATACACTTTGCTTTTGAAAAGCAAACTCTCTCCAAATCCTCTTCGATTTTAACTTCGAATCCGATCTATGATTTGCCAAATTTGGTCGTTAACACACGTAAGCGCCATGTCAATGCCACATGGGATGATGACCTAGTCAAAGGGAGCCACATAGGTGCCATGTCATCCAAAACCGAGCATAATACTGCTGAGGGACCTATTCTGCACGGTTTTGTGAGTTGATGGATGCGTTGTATCTGGTTTTCTGGACTAAGGATGAAAATTAGACTAGGCGACAAACTGAGGGATCTAGAGTGAACTTATTACTAAACTTGTTGAAGCAGAGAGGGGGGGGGGTGTTAAATGTCGTCCCCCCTATTCGGCCTAAACAGTTTAGAGGACAAGGGTGAAACATGCGACTATAGTGAGGTGCAGGGCGAGAGAGGAAATGAGAGATTGAGTGAGAGAGGGATGCCTGCGAAAATACTTTAAGTGATTGGAATGTAACTTTTAAACTTGTAAATGTTGAGAATACAAAAAATAATTGATAACAGTGTGATTATGTGAGCTGTAGTACCTACTTTCGTATAAAAAAATAACTTATAGGAATGAATCTGCGCAAGCATTATGTTCATCCATATAAATTGGTTTTTTGAACGGAGGGTGTAGATTCTAGATTAATGTGTTAGATGTCGAACTTTATATTTTCTTTAACTTTAACTATAGTAAACAGTAATTTTATGGAATTCACTCATTTTTTCTCATTGAGAATTTGATCTGCACCATAAAACTGCAATTGCCAATTGCATGCTGGAATTCACACAATTTATTTAGGGCCCATTTGATTCAAAGAATTTTATGTAGAAATTTCATAGGATTCAAATCCTATAGGAATTTTTCCTGTGTGACCATTTGATTCAAGAAAGCTTTCAAATTCTATAAAATTCCTATGGAATGGCTCATTGCACATGGATTTTGGAGGAATCTTAGCAAGAGCTACAACCTCTTAGAAAATTTTCTTCGAGTCTATCTTTCTCATCCAATTTCTATGTTTTTTATGTAGTTCACTCAAACGGCAATTCCTGTGTTTTTCCTGTGTTTTATAAAACTCTGATTTACATTTATTTTTTTATCAGAATTATGTGTTTTTTATACCTTTATTTTTTTCGATCCTACCATTCGAAGTGCACTTAGTTGCGAAGTGTCATTAAATTTCGAGAAACCACAGATCGATCAGATCCAAGTCCAACGATCAACTACTCCACCTCCCGCTACAAGCCTTCAGCGCCCAAATCGAGTGCCTACCTTTATCTCTCACCTTTCGCAAATCGCAGCCGGCCGCCGCTGTAGTAGCAAACATCTCCTTCGTCTTCCCTACGCGTCCACCCGAAAAAGAAAAAAAAAAGAACAGGAGAATTATCCCCACTTCCAGAGTCCAAACCTCCCCGTCCATGGCGACGGCGAGCTCGATCCGGCCGCCACGCGCGGCGCTAGTCCTCCTCCTGCTCGCGCTGTCCTTCTCCCTCACCCTCGCCGCCCACTTCGAGGGCTTTGGCTCCGACGACCTCCACTCCGCCCACGCCGACGCGGCCTCGGCAGACGACGAAGACGACGAGGGGCTCGACGTCGAGCTCCCGCCGCCGCCGCGCATCTCCCTCTCCACTTCAACTCCTTCCCCTCCCGTCACCACCACCACCACCACCACCTCCGCTCCAAACCCTAACCCCGATCCCAACCCGACGCTGACCCCGCCGAACCCCACCCCGACGCTCGATCTCTGGGACGAGGACGAGTTCGAGGGCATCCCTGTCCCGGAAGCGGCCTCCTCCGACGAATCCTCCACGCCGGCGGAAGCCGCCCCGTCAGATCCCGCGGCCGATGCCGCGGCCGAGGCGGCGCCAGCCCCGCCCCGGCGGCCCGCGGAGCTGCTCCGCGCGTACACCGTCGAGATCGCGTGCGTCAGCTTCCTGATCTGCTTCCTGCTCAACTACTTCACCGGGAAGCGGCAGAACGAGGCGATCGCGCTCGCCTGGGCCACCAGGTTCGCCACCAGGGACTCCATCTTCGACAAGAACTTCAGCCTCCTCGGCACCGGCGACGGCAAGGACACGCCGCTCCTGATGAAGGAAGGGCAGGACGTGTTCAAGTTCTACGCGAGCGGGAGGCGGTACTGCCAGGGGATGCTCGCCACCATGGAGATGCGCGCGCGGCACGACCTGCTGTCCAAGCTGGTGGAGCTGGTGTTCCCCAGGAAGGACACCATCACGTTCGAGGTGGTGATGAACGAGGAAGCCATGGACCACGTCATGTTGGCCGTGGCGAGGAAGAAGGCGGCCAAGACGATGCAGAAGGAGGAGAGGGATCTGCAGAAATTTGCCGGGGTTCTGACCTCGGCACCCGCCGGGAGGAGATGGGTTGCGGATGAGCTTGCGGTAGTGGCCGAGTCAAAGGAGGTTGCTGGGGATATGATTACTGAAGCCGTGCTGGACCAGGTGATGATTTAACCTGCTTACTTATTTTTAGAATTGCTGTTTTTAGCTTCGGTGGTACTGGGTAAATGGTTCTTCTGGTAAGATTGTACAGATGATATAGTGAGGTGTCCTGTTGATGTTGATTCTTTTATGAAAGTAATATAGGTAAGTGCCTTCTAAAACGAAACGGTATATATTACAAATTATCATCAAATAATTTGGAAGTGAGAAAGGTGCAATATTCGACATTCGAGAAACATCTCACTCCCTTCAATTATATCATTAATCACTAACTTCAATATGGATGAAGTGTAAAGGAATTAAATTGTGAATTGATCTGAGTTTCTTACTTTTTGGGTGAATTGGCACCAATTGGATTCTATTATGTTCATAACTATTCTTGTACCAAGATTTTCCCAGAATAGTAACTGTGGATCAAGTAATGTGATGATGGCTTGTATTATCATTTCATTATGTTTGTAATTTAATAATATCATCAGGCTTTTGCATAAGGCAGTGTTGATATTGAACATGCCATATTTGTCTTGGGAAAGTCGGGGTACTGTTCCTAGCTGTTGATGTTTTGCACATTTGGATAGCGAAGAACTTAGGGAGTACCTTGAATTTTTGACTGCTAGAGTTCTACCAAAGTCGCCATCTATATCTTTTTTAACGACTGAAGTAGCCTGTCTTAATGCTATGATAAAGAAAATTAGATGGAAGGTTTAGTAATTAAGGATTGACATAGCTTTGCTCAGAATTTTGTCATGGGCTGGCTCAATATGATCCGCATGTCTTTAGTAAGACTGAGCAATGCTATACAGTGGCATACATATATAATGTTTTACAACCTGTTTCTCTGCAGGTCCTTGGTGACAAAGCTTTTGAGAAATTTGGGAAATGGTTCATCTCACTTCATTTTTCAGATCAACTGGCAGGCTCTTACAAGAAAGTCCTTTCTTTCAAGTTTGTACTGCCAGATGCAAGCAACATGGCTGAGATGACAAGATTAGTTGCTCTCGTGCCATACTACATTGATTTGGTGGGGCGTTACAAGCTCAGCAACCATGTGAGTATCTCCTCTATCTTTGTTTTAGGCCACAACCATTTTTCGGTTACAGTGTCTAATTCTTCTTATTCATGGTAATTGCAGGCTCGTTCCAAAACTGAAGCTGCAAGAACAAAAGCTTCCCAGGAGGCTTTCAGGGAGCAACAGGGTCTAAGGCAGGAAGCCCTTCAAAGGAAGAAGGCTGAGAAGAAAAAACTTATGGAAGAGGCAGAGGCCAAATTGAGCGCCGAGGCACTCCGCAAGAAAGAGGAAAAAGAAAGGGCTCGTCAGATGAAGAAGTCCATGCCCAAAGTTAAAATGCTCCGTTCCTAGTAACATCAAAGATATATCACAGCACTGGCTTTAGCTATTCAGTTGCTGATTAGCTTATTGTTGCCTGCCAGACTCTTTTATGTTCTTCTGGGCCATCAACTTTTCTTTGCCATGGGGGGATACAAGCGAAAGGAAATAGGTGAAGATAATCTTTTGCTGTTGTTTCAGCTTGTCGCTTGTTGGGGGATTAATTTGAAACGCTGTTTTCCTTGTATTAATATACGCAGGCTGGAATGGCGTCAAGTTTGATTTGCCCCCACGATCGTTCATTTTAGTTCATCTGAATGTTGTTATGCAGCAGCTCGTTTGTAAGAGAACTCCATGACTTGCTGTGTAATGCGTTTATAGATACGCTGCCAGAAACTCAAGACTAGATCACATAATTTGAGTTGATTTATGAGTAAATCTCATCTATGCATGTCTTCTACTGGTTGAAGCAGTAATAACTGTTGGGATTGTCGTATACTGTGTTATGCAGCGCTGTTTGGCACCGCTCTAACTCGAGTTTTTATGGAGCTCCAGATTAAGATCATCACTGTTCTTTACTTTCGTGTAAAATCAGATTATTGGATTTCTTTATTCATAATAAACTCTATTTTCTGCAAAAGTTCTTGAGTTGCAGTCTTGCCAAACAGAGCCTGGTCACCAATTGTCAAATAACAGATCTGCCTACTCATGCTGTGTTTTTCCCCTTTGCTACCTCACAGTTCCTTTTTTTTTTGCACGCGCGCTTTCGCTTTTCAAACTATTAAACGGTGTGTTTTTTTTTTCAAAAATTCTTAATATGAAAGTTGCTTTAAAAAATCATACTACTCTATTTTCAAGTTCTTTTAGACTAATACTTAGTTAATCACGCTTGGATTTGTCTACTTATTAAGATATGTTCTTTCCCCTTCTTTCTCAGCTCATCTTCCTCTTTCCTTAAGCATGCCTTTTCAAACGGCTAAACATCCTCTTTCGTTAAGCATGCTTTTTCAAACTGCTAAACAATGTATTTTTTGTAAAAGTTTTCTATAGGAAAGTTGTTTAAAAAAATCATATTATCTATATTTAAGTACTTAATAACACCGGGCTTGTTTGGTTTGCTATCATGCCAAAATATTGGCAATACCAAATCATTGGCAAATTTTGGTAGTAACAAATGTTTTGGCAACTTATGTGTCTTATTGGCATATTTTGGTAGCAAACCAAACACTAGCCAAACTACTATTTAAAATACCAACAATTTGGTAGGGCATCATTTTAGCATCAAACCAAAATGGCCCACCGTTTCTCGTGCGGGGAACTCAGCCTTACTATGTGTGTCATCCAACATCTCTATGATAAATTTTGGAGAAAATTTGCGAAGGTAAACGTTGCAAATATGCAGGCAACCGAATCATCGCAACAACTCTCGGCAGCACATCTCCCCTCTTCTTCCTGAGTACTCTGGGCCAATCTGCCGCCCTCCGCCGCACGCGCCATCCGATGGAGGAGGCGCAGGCCGCCGTGATGGCGCACCTGGACCAGGTCTCGGGCCTCGTCCAGGCGCTCTCCGCCGAGCTCCGCCGCGGGATCGGCCCCGCCGCCGACAGCCTTCTCGCCTTCGTCCGCGCCGTCGACTGGACGGTAACTAACTCCCCGATCCCCAGATTAGCGGAGATCACCGATTTCCAGCCGCCGCGCCGCGCCGCCTCCTTTCTCTTTTGCTGATGATTCGCGTGCCTTGTGCTTGTGGCACTGAGGCTATTTCAGGAACCATGGCTGATTTGCTTGATGGTATTCCATGCGACTCTGTTGCTCACGGCCGTCGGGTTGAGGAGGAATGCCAATTTCCAGCTCTTCATGCTGTTTCTTGCCTGTGAGTTTTCTTGTTTCTTTTTGCATATTTTTGCAGTATGTTTAGGACTGAGACATTGTCGTCGGAGAAGAGAGGCTAGGGTATAATAATATTTTGGTAGTATAATCTTCCATTTGCATAAACCGAACCTTGTCGTAGTAATTGGGTCAATAGCAACTAACAGTTTAACCGAGTTACTGCATTTGCTTAAACTTTAGCACATACAGCGCTCACCTAGATGCTGCTTTGAGCACAAAGAAGTTAAAGCAGAATTGGCCACTAAACCTTTCTAAAGATGTGATGCCTTGGCAGTTGGCACAAGACAAATATTCAGGATATCGCAATGCGAACTATGATAAGGGTTTGAGTGGAAAGAATGTGATAAAATTATGTCAGGAGGCTAAAACTTGTAATGTGAAAGGAATGCATAAGGCTGAAACTTGTAATATGAAACAGAGGGAGTGCACTATAAATGATCAACATTTTATTATTCTGTCAATAATGTAGAATTAGAGTATTCTTGGTGTCTGCTAGTGTGCCACTCAAAGTCTACTACAGAGCTTGAGTTTGTGGCTATTGTGAGTTTCTATAATTGGTATCTTCTCAATTCTGATATTAGGAAGAGACAACGGATATCTCAGGACGTTAGGTGGCAGTAAATTATCTAGAATAAAAACCTGGTTGTTTGATTGATCAGAGTAGGCTGCTTGGTTTGATTAATTGTCTGATTGGTTCCATGGTTGCCTATCTGCAGATTCAGGAGTTTATCTTGCTGAAAAGATAAATAGCTATATGGCAGAGCACTGGAAGAGCATTGCCACACGAAATTACTTCGACCGCGCTGGAGTTTTTGTTTCTGTCGTCTGGTCGGGTCCCCTTATCTTCATATCTATGGTCATTGTGGTTAGTAAAAGACCTTCCATTCCCTGTTATTAAAGTCCTTATTAATTAGTTGGTGTTATGCTCTCTATCTATTTGCAGTTCATCTTGTATGCATATTGAACACTTTTTACTATTCCAGGTTAGCTCCCTTATTACATTATGTCGGTTGATGGTGAAATGGAAGAGAGCAGAACTAAGGCATCGGGCTCAGCTTGCTCGTGACAAACAGGATTGACTGAAAGGTTCCTTAGTCTGGTAGAAGAAATGATTAGAGACATGCGTCTTCTAGAATTGTAACTGTTGGTGTTTAATCACCTGATGTTTTTCAGTTGCTTGCTGCTAGTAACTTACTGCGTCGGTTATATTCTGGTGTTCATGAACTCTAGTAACAGCTAAAAACAGAAATACTAGACCCAGTATCTGATTTCATCATGTTTTGGTTCAGTAGCCACGAACATGGATGTGTAATTTTATTTAAAATCGATTGTGATAAATTGCAAACTGCATCCTTGTGCTAGCTGTATTTACCGTGAAATTATACATGGCGACCTCTTATAGTTATAAACTAAATAGAGACAAGTTAGTGGGGGTACCCGTGGGTGGATCCACTTCCATCCCTACCTCTCCACAGAAGTTTCACATTAGCTAAATCCCTCACTGATCCCCTATAAACATTGTAAATGTAGTTAGAATAACAAAGTAGTGCAGAGTAGAAGAAATGCAGAACCAGTAAAATACTGGGAAATGTTTAGTAATTCCAACTACAGAAAATTACAGAGGAATTGAATCATTGCATGACAGCATGTTACACCTATATAATTTATTTTCTTAGGAACTGATACACAAATATGAACTGTTGTTGCCAGCATTTTACATACTACACGTGAAACAATTATGTGTATGTACTGTAAGCATAATTGCCTTAGTTTCATAACCGTTTAGCAGGCAAAGAATTCCTGAACTTTTTCCTAAACAAGATAAAACCCAGGGCACCAAGGAAAGGCCAAGATGTTACAAAAGCAATGTAAGTAAGCAACCAAACAGATCTCCCCTGCGATCGAATGAGCTGATTAATGGATATCTTTACAGGAGCAATAGCATCCTGGATTTTATCTATGTTTTGTTTTGGCTGTTCCTGTGATCCTACAGGACCTTGGGCTGGCGTCACATTCTCTTGTGACCTATTACCGTCACACTCATTCTGTATTTCTGTGGCGATTCCATCCTGTTGCACACCAACCATGCCATTGCGGAGTTCCATTTCATTGGAAATAGGATTATCTGAGTCACTATTGTTGGCATCATCATTTGTCACCGCAGTTACCATCCCATCTTCCATGAAATTCACATATGGGCTTTTATCAATGGATGATTCCAACGAAGTGTGCAAGCTGTGTTCTTGTGCCTGCATTCAACTACATGTTATATCATGTATTCATGCTATCGTACGCCAGTTTGCGATTTAATAATCTCTACCTTTTGCCGATGCATGCAGGGGCTATCATGTAGAGCAAGTAGAAACTCAGAAACAGCTCCCACCCACCTACCAAATATTCATAAAGGAACACACTGACTTAATCGCTATTGGATAATAATGTATATTGAAGAAACATCACAAGTGAAAAATGGAGGTGTGAGTGGAAAGCGGATTAAAGAATTGTCTTTTCATCCCTGCCCAATTATATCCCCGCACAAAATAGTATAATTTAGCCGCTTGCACCTCAAAATACATAATTTTTGTGTTTATAAATGTATATTACTTCTACTTATCTAAAATATCCTACAAATTATCAACTACAACTAAAACAAGCTTTCCCCGGTAATCGCAATTCCTTACAAATATCTATTTTCAAGTTTCTTAGACCATGAACAGAAAGGTAACGGTACTTTGTCCTTACTATTCATAATAGGGGCAAACAACATACCACAGCTTTCCAGCAGTTAGCCCTTGAAAAAAGGCAAGATGGCCACCGTTAGGTGCAGTTGCCAAAACAATGTTTTTGTTTGCCCTGAATCACACAATGTGGACCTCATCAATACACAATAAAACTTTAGGATGGTGATCTTTTGAAAGAAAAGTAAGCTTACCTGCATTCGTCCCAGGGAATGGCCTCCCTTGTGCAAAGTGGGTCATCAAGAGCACTGATACAAAGCAGGGGCACTGACACATTACTAATGTAATTTGCACTGCTGCACCGACGGTAGAATGTGTCCACTGTCTGACAAATTTATACTGATGCAAGTTAGAGGCTTACTGGTGTTAAAAGTAGATTAAGAGGCTTACTGGCAGTTCAATTTGAATTTTGCTTATTTGTTACAAAATTGGATTTGATGCACTAGCTTATGGTCAATTCTGATCACATCCCTTTGAAAATCAAAGGTGGTAAATTAATTTGGTCCATTTATGTTTGAACCAAATAGTTGTATGTTGCTTTGCCAGTCCACCTCTACCTTCAAATGTAATTGGAACAGCACAATGCTATTTGATTTGATCTAAGTATCTAACTCATGATATTAAGCAATGCTAAAATATTTAGCAGGTACACTAGCATTAGAAAGAATACCTCATATTTTGCAACCACACAAGTGGCATGACGGTCGAATTCCCTGATAGATCGTGACTGAAAAAATGAAATAGAAGATGATAGGATAAGTACAAATTTGTGTAACCAGCCAATTAATTTAAAGGGACAATTGCTCTTTTGACCCTTAAAAGTAATCTACTGTAGCCTCTGTGAACTACAATATATAACCCTTTTTTATGGAAACTGAAACAACACTCAATACTTTGTCATGGTTCACAGGGAAAGTTCCAATGTACAGTACATACTATATACACATGAGATAATAGAACAACAGGGTCAGTCAGTCAATGTACCTTTCTAATATCTTCCCAGTTAGCAAGTCTTGCCAAGACGGGTTGGTGTCTGCAAAAACAAAATGGGGAGAAAACTCAGTAGTTGAGTATGAAGAAAAAGTGCATTCACCATCTTTGGTTGTCATTACGCAGCACGGGCTTATACTACATCCGTTGCTCTGGATGATGGTGCGAGACTGCTAAGCCTAAACATTTTATCAGGACATTTGCATATTCGGTATATTATGTATCAATTAAATTCATTAACATTGTTAGAAATTACAAAAAGTAAGAAAAATCAGAGTTAATGCAGATGGAAATGGGTTTAATGGTCTGAATGTAAACATGTACTACCTCCGTCCCAGAATAAGTTAATCTATTACTAGATGTGGACATATCCTAATACTATGAATCTAGTAAGGAGGTAGTACTTCAAGTTATTGTCCTCTAATCAGATTATCAGTAAATGGAGTGTACATTCTGCAGTTGTGGCACTTGTACTAGAACTGAAGATGGTAACTACTCGAGAGTTAGTGCTGCAAGAATTTGCTACAAGACCTAGTATCTTCTTACGGCACAGATCAGTTACAGATCACAATATGAAATACCCCGATTACTCCAACTATCACATAACTATGAGAAAATTCCTTCAATGTAGTCTGGACCTCACTAGAATAGTCGAGTGCCTTAACAGTTCAGCTAGCAACAGCTATTTGCTCTTCAAGTATCAGATCACAAGTTTAAGCAACAATTCATCAGAAAGGTCCAAACATTTCCTTAGGGCTCACATGGGATTGGAAACTCATCAGTCACCATCAAAGCAAAGCCATAAGGGAGATGTGGTCTACAGTAAATTTCTCGAGAGTAAGAAGAAATACAAAAAAACAACTGTTCAGGGAACATAAACTTCATATTTACTAATTTAATCATTCTTGGTTGACTGCAAGCAGAAGTTCTTTACTGGACGTCCCACCCTCTCCTCATTCTCTTATTTGATATTTGTCAATTAGTGCTGGTTTCTCTCCTACCACTTAACAAAAAGCCCTCTTGACCCTCCAAATCCCCATAAGACAGCACTTGACGATAGGCAACGAGTAAGACCATTATGTGGGTTCTGTCGCAATGAGCAACATGATCACAAAGCCACACTAATCAAACTGCTTGTACCTAACATATAAACTCTAACCCAGGATACTAGTCTACAATTGTCCACAAGATTGTATGGGATGCAGGCCCTTGATACCATGAGCTCAAGAATAGTGTCTCATCTTGATTTGTCCACAATGAAATTAATTTTAACAAAGATCATAAACACACATTTCAATTGATATAGGCAAGAACTTGGATCTTTAGCTAAAGGTGCAAAACGCAAACCATCATTGCCATTGTATTTTATTTGAAATGCAAATCAAATAAATTGAAAAAGGATTTATTTGATAATCACTAAACCTTGATTAGCACAAACTATAGTAATTCAATGAATAAAGGTTGTGGCAAGTTGTATACAATGTTAGTCTTGTTTAAATGCTTAGCTGGTAAAGAAGCGTAATGAGAACATACAGTTTTGCATATCCTTTCAGACCAATTGCAAGAGCTTTGTCATAACATCGTTGCACAAGCTTGCGCTGAATAAATCTGTTGGTCACCTGCAATATTGATTGATATAACAAAATATTACGGATAGATGTAAGAAAACAATTAAGAAGTATTGGTGTGAAATGAAACACTAGAAGAGGATATTATTTGCTATTTGTTATTTCATTAAGTGAGACACAGCGAAATTGTTAGCAAACAAAAATATAGGTATCATAATGCAAAATTGTGTTTCAAAACAAATAAACAATTATTTATGCATAAAATAATATCTATAGAACCATAAAAAAAAATTCAAAAAAAAAAAAAAACTGTAGACGCTGACCAGCAGATCCCAGGGTGAGCAAATAGATACAGCACCAGCCACAGGGGTACCCTCACCTTCTTCTCCGAGATACTTAACCTAAAAGGGCAACAGATGAAAACAACATAAACAAATTGCAGCTCACTTTTACAATATCAACTACAGTGTATAGCAGAGTGCGTGCATGCGTGGAGTGAGAGCAAGCAAGAGAGATTATGCAAAACAAAACAGAAGATCTTAAGAACAGACAAAGTCTACCAGAATATTGGCACCTATGCTTGTCCCAACAGCAAATAATGGAGCCTGTGGATACTTCTGATGAAGGTAATTGACAATCTCACGGAAATCTTCTGTCCATCCAGCATTGTAGAAGCAATCAGACTGCAAGAATAAATACTAGGTTGAGGAACAAGTACCACCTGAACATTTTTCATCAACTGCTACCAAATTGATGATTCTGGGACATAATTTTCCTGGAGTCAGAACATGTATTCAAGGATTTTCTAATTTCCACATCAGCATCATTGATTGATGGTTTAGGCCTAACACCATTTCACCCATTTTCACTTTCATGCACATATCATGTAATAGACTGGGAATATGGACCACATGGTTCAAAAGCTTAATAAAAAAAAAATGTTCAAGTGGTTCAAAACAGGAATATGCAGTGTCTTTACATTTGCTATCAATCCTAATATCTACCTTATAAGACAAACATGAATCATTCAGCTAACAGAATTTAAGGGAGCACAAGTAACAAATGTGCTTTCCACCATATTTAATCTTATGACACTGGTTAATTAATTGCTTGTCCTCGTACGGAAGGTGCAGATCGACAGTAAGCTTCAGCAATGCCTCTCTCGAAACTTCTGCCCTGTAGTTCATTTTATCATCCTTTTGTCTTTGGACTTTAGTTTAGACAAGCATGGCTATTAAAACCAATCAGTTAAAGCAGATGACACCATCGATTTTTCAATGCTGCATATCACTATAGAATAGGAGGAAACTTACAGTTATGGAGATGCCACCCAGACCCCTATGATTGCCTACAACAACATTCCACCCTTTGCTTGCCATAGAAAAGACCAAGTGCTTCACATACTGCAACAGACAGCTGCATCTTGTTTAGAACAATTAGGGAAGGTAGCCCAAATACCTAAAATTGATTTTATGGAAAATTCCAGATTGTGTTTAAACCAAAGTTTGGTAGAGAAATCATAGGGACTTACAGCAGCAGTAGAATCACTAGTTAATCCAGGTATCACAACAACAAGAGGCGTCGAATCATCCCTAGAGATAACTCCATCACAAAAACCAACATCTTCTTCTGCAACATAGAACTAACTATCAGGCATCTCTAGCCTATTGATCTGAAGCTATCCAACAAAAACATCAGCACCTTCACAATCAGAGGCTAGTAACCAATCCAAAGCAATGGTCCCACCATCGCGAACTGTGTACAGCTGCCTGTGTTATAGAGTTCAATGAATATGGGAAACTAATTTCATAACTAAGAATTTAATAAATATGGCAAACTAATGTCATAACTAGCTGCAGCACCGTTCCAAGTTTAATTTGTAATGTCCAACCAAAACAGAACATGAGTCTCTACCTTATAGTAGCTGATCTTACTGAACTTGGAACTGGAACTCATGAGAATACTAAATACCAATATATATCATATAATAATAAAGGAACAGCATGCCGCAATTCTGCATATACCAGATTTCGCACAAAAGTTTATTGCCCCTTATTTTTATACAAAATGGTGCGCAACAATCATAACTTCATAGGGAAAAAAGGAAGCTAAAACCGCACAAGCATATCCATATTGAGAAGTTTCAAGTGATACCGTTAGGCCATTGAGCCATCAGAACAGTCCATTAACATCTCATACCAATGTACAATCAAACAAATACTCACGTTGGTGCAGAGAGACCGTAGACAAATGCAACGAGTAAATGCACAATTCCAAGACATGAATTTACTCCTACCTCCTATACGTGAACGAAGGGGGTCTCCCAGAGATGCTCAGGAACAGTGTCTGCAAATGAGGGCTCGCAAGCCACGGCGTCGCCAAGTACCTACGCGACCGACCAGCGTTCCCGATGTTAGCGATGACATCGCAAAAAAATATTCCGACGAATCCACACAACTCGGAGTTCTCTCATCTCACCTGCCATGGAGGGAGCGGCACTTGGATGCGACGCGGTGGTAGACGTGGGAGGCGGGGTGGAAGGTGAGCGCGACGCGGCCCCCGCGGAGGCCGCGGAGGAGGTCGCCGATGAGGTGGAGCTCGAGGAAGCGGTACAGTAAGGCGCAGGCGAGGAGGAGGGCGGCGAGGGCGTAGTGCGCCGGCGGCACCAGCGCCGCCGCGCGGAGCAGCAGCTCGGCGGCCGAATCGCCGGCGGCCGCGTTTCCCATCGGGTTGGGGGGGAGGGAGGGACGGGACGGAGTTGGATGCCAACTTGCGAATTGCGATTGCGAGCGATGGTCAGACACGTGAGCCCGTTTCGTCGGTTAAGAAATGGGCGCTTGGTGGGGCCCACCTTGCGAGAGGTATTCCCCACTGTGCGGAGCTGGGAAGACACTGACTAGTGGGCCCATGCGTATTTTTGTCGTAAACGATTATTGTTACTACTTCCTCCGTTTCACAATATAAAACTTTCTAGCATTGTCTACATTCATCATATAATGAATCTAGACATATGTATGTGTTAGATTCATTACATCTATATGTATATGGACAATGCTAAAAAGTCTTACATTGTGAAACGGAAGGAGTACTACTTTTGCGAATGTGAATAACAAAGCAAATACGAAGACAGGGAAGGTCTTCCACAGGTGCAAACTCAGCAACATGAAGACCCAAAATTCTAAAAGAGAATAACATTAGATCAACACATAGTTATATATAGTATCAAATGATCTTGTTATACATTAGTGCATTACAGCCTTTTTTTTAATACTCATTACAAACTTAGGATACAAGCTAAAAGATCATTGTATCCACTGGGGATGTACAGGTGTTGCATCTCTTATTGTTACTACCATATAGTATTACAACCATGCCATGAGATGCACACACCAGAAACACTTGCATTACACTACCTTATCAGCTAGGCCGGTACACTACACAAGACTAAAGGTGTTCATTGTGCCAGTGCCAGCCCCGGGTCCATGGAGCTGGTATGTCTGGCTTGGTACAACCTGAAGAACACCTGGTTGCTCTGCAACAAAAGAGGCAGGAGCCAAATCAGACGTAAGGATACAAACAGAAGTGCAAATGGCCCAAGTACGATTCGCACTATTGGCGACTTTAGCATACATACTTCAGAAACTTAACCAAAATCCAAAGAAATCATGTGCCGTATTGTAATCTATAACCACACGACACTGGCATGTACATTAGATAAGTTTTACTTGATTAATGATAAAAAGAACAGTACACTAAGAAATCCGGTAGCTGCTTGGTCATAGATAGCGTATATGTAAGATCGAATCATGTTAGAAATATAAGTTAAAATGGTATTAATAAAATCCACGGTGAAAAGAAAAACCTTGCATATATAATCCTAGAAAATGAACAGATGCAAGTCCAGTTCATAAGGAATAGGTTTTATTTGCAAATATCTTATCAGTTTGGCAAATACTTACAATAACAGCTAAGAGCATCAGAATTCACAAATATCCTTCAATAGGATTGTTCATACTATATGGGATAAGTAGGATGTAAATTGATACATCCTGGTCTACAAAGGAAATATTGTACTTCCTGGTTCCAAAGTACCAAATATTACATGACAAATATGACTGAAGCACATTATTATGGGGCAATGAAGAATTAGTTATAGTTATAATGTACAATCCCCGAACAGGTTCTTAGTAGCTTACAATCCTATGATTTGTGAGTGTGCACTTAAGCCTGAACCTGGGCTTGTGAGAGAAAAGAATGATTGCTTTCGCAATTATTGCAACGGAAGACTACAGTGTGAAAGAAACTTTGATAACCATCAACATTACCACAGAACATCACCAATCAATCACACCTAAGTCCAAAGATCTAAAAGCTTAAGGATCATACTTAATTTTACTCAACAAGATGGAAGTTATTCAGTACGGCCGCTGTATTACAGATTGACAAATGATACATTTATGTTCCAATAAGAATTTGAGACTCCGATGTTCATCCATTGGTTTGGTGCCAGCCAAAAACCAGATTTATTCCTCTCGTTTCATTTTCCAGATATAGAAGAACGGTAAACGGGCATAATTCTGAAAGAAAAATAGGATAGAGTACTCACTCTTGAGCTCCTCGACCTGCTGGGGAGTAAGTTTTGCAGAGAAACCGCTTGCGGCGTGCTTGTAGTGGTAGAGCACCGCCTCCTTTGCCTTCTCCTCGCTGCAATCAACCAACCCCAAAATCAGCAAATCGCCATACAATCCACACCTCTCAGAAAACCCTATTCCTACCCAGTATCACCACGGTCATATTGGAGCTAATCGAGCCCCCAGAAGGACACAAGTTTCTATCTCAATCGAACCACCGGAATCCAAACTCCTACAACCGGAGCAACATAGATCGCACAAATAGTAGAAACAACCAGGCGGGGGATCCAAATTCCGCGAGTATACCTGCCGAGGACGGGGGCGAGGGTGCGGATGTGGAACTCCTCGGGGTCGGCGTCCGCGGGGCGGTCCAGGTAGACGATCTGCACGGTCGCCTCCTGCGCCGCGGGGGCCGCCTGCTCCGGCTGCTCGGCCGACATGGCGATCTGGGGAACGGATGCTGCCGCCGCGAGGAAGATGAGGAGGAGGATTGGGAAGGAGTTGCTGAGAACGCTCGAGGATTTGGTCTTCATCACCCGTGGATTCCGAGGTCTTAATAGCCGTGATATTCTCGTTCTCTTCCGCGTTATCTTGGCTTGATTTGCTTTGCCTTCTCGACGAAGTTTTTATTTTTCTTCTTCTCCCCCACAAGTTTTTGCAGTTTGGCTTCACAAGGTTTGGTTTATTCTATAAAAAGGTTTTCTGTGTTAGATTTAATTGAGGAAAAAAAGGTTTTCTTCTGGGATAAGAAAAGGGGAAAATAAAAGAAGCTTGTATGATTATGAAGCTTTTCTCGGATTACACCTCATTCTCTTTCATATTATCTGTTTGCTTATTAGGTAGGCAGAGTCACCACAAGAGGAAGAACTTTTTTCAATGGGATAAACACATGGCATGATTTCTCATATTTTTTCCAATCCGTGATAAGTAGTGTGATGGCAATTCACAAGTATTGAAAATATAATGGTTTTGTTTGAAGCCAATGGTAATGCAAATGTGGCAAAATTTCTTCACAATGGAACGAAATTTGACATTATTTTTTTTAAGATAATAAAATATAATCCTGACCTTTGCTCACAGAATTACAGCTAATTATTAAAAAAAAGTTTCAAACATAATCACACCTCAAAAGAAGACATAATAGGGACACATCCAAACTGATAGAGACGCACACCGGTACTAACACCAATAGAAAAAAAATAAAACGCACATTTATTGAATTCTATCTGTGAACCTCCAGCCAAAATTGGCAAAAAGTTGCACAACCGTTCAGTCTCATTGTTTAATAAGCCAAACGGCATATTTGCAAACGAGAAGTATTTGTAAACAAAACTTTTATATACTCCCTCCGTCCTATAATATAACAGATTTTAGAGGGATGTGACACTGAGCCTGTCCAGATTCATAGTCCTAGGAAGTGTCACATCCCTCCAAAATACATTATATTATGGAACGGAGGTAGTATGTTCTTAGCAACCTAAAAGCTAAGGCTGAAAGATAAACTTCAATGAAAAAACAATCCAAAAATCAACTTCAAATTTAAGATTGAAAATTTAAATTTTCGTTGATAAGCATAAGCATAAGCGAAAAGATGAGGCCGGTTGACTCCAGTTTGCGACATGCAACTTTTATTAATTTAGTGTCATCATCACACTTTTGTAGAATAACCTATGATCGAAGCCAATATGTTACACTGAAAAGTACATGCAAATAAGATTTAAATGATATTTTATGAACTCTGATATCATATTTATAATAAACTAAATATGAGCAATATATCTCTCTCCTATCAACAAATTGATAGTTTCAAATTTTACCAAGATTTTAACGCTACTAAGTACTAACAAATGGGTACGTAGAGAACCAAACTACCGAATGACGAAACAAGAACATTAAACTTGTAAATCATTTTATTCCAATAATAATTTGAAGAGCCTCGTATAACCAGGTTCATATACGAGAAGAGTAGAACAGTGTGCTCCTCTGCTGCTCTGCATCTCCCAACGAAAGCAACACAATCACTCAATCAGGGTGTGAATGATCCTGCCGTCCGCTACGAGCCGAGGCAATCAAATGACCGTTTGATCACTACTATCCCAGGCCCAGATTAAGGCGTGAAAAGTCTATGCGAAGGCCCCAGCTTGGGCCCAGCCATCTGGGCCGCTTCATGGGCCGTAGAACAATCCTACTTACTCGCCGAATTTTTTTTATTTATAATTTTTTTTATTAAAAGTTTTACAAAAATAATTTTCCATTTTGAAAATTGACGGAAGGAGTCGCCTACCGCCTTAAAAATCGCCCTCTCAGAGGGCGGCGAAAATGACGTGGCAGACGGCCGTTCGCTCTCGGGCGACGGCCGTCAACGAAATTTGCAGGCGGCCCCCTTGCCGCCCTCCGCTAGGGCGATTTTATACTGTGCGGGGGGCCGCCTGCAAATTGGCGGCGAGGGGGGGCATGGAATTTTGCAGGCGGCCCCCTTGCCGCCCTCCGCTAGGGCGATTTTGTACTGTGGGGGGGGGGGCGCCTGCAAATGGGCGGCGAGGGGGCATGGAATTTTGCAGGCGGCCCCCTTGCCGCCCTGGGGGAGGGCGATTTTTGCCTCTCCCCCTATAAAGCCCAGTCCCTCCTCTGTGAAATTTCATTATATTCACTTAAAAATCCAAAAAAAACAAAAGAGAGAGAGGGGAGGGCAGCAGAAGGGGAGCGGCGAAGCCCTGCTGGTTCGCTCAATTCATCACAGGTATGCTCCCATACATCTTTTGCATTTGTACTAATATGTTATGTTTGAGTATATATGTTGCGTTTTAGTTTTAGTTCCATATATTTTAGCACATCTGTAGCACACACACGATGGGGACTTACTGGTGTCGACGTGGGGTTAGTGCAACTTCGCTGCGTTATAAGTTTATCAGTCGTCTTTTTTTTTCTTCACATAACATGTCTAATTCCGATCATGTTTATTGCAGCGTCGTTACGCTCACGTCCAGGTGAGACGTGGTTACCCGGACTTCGTGTTCGAGTTTGACCGTCTCCAGCCGAGCGACGTCATCTGGGAGCCGTACACAGAAGAGGCCGTCGCTGCGAGAGCACCGCTAGGACTTTCGTCCTTGTGCACACGCGACCAGGCTTACTGGCTCACCATCCTGCCGATGGTGTTCGACATTTTCGTTGAGCCTCACTGCCCGCAGCGTGTGATGAGACAGTTCGGACTTAGGCAGGTGTTTCCGGGCAACGTGCAGCCGACCGTCCTCCCTGCCGACCACTCGTGAGTTCGGATTGTTCATTTCTAAATTTTTATGATAATTACTTCATTGAGCCATATAATTTACCTCTCTTCACAGGTTGACTCGACGGGGACAGCTAGCAGGCGCACTTTGGGCTCCACGTGTACAGCAGTACGTTGACGACTGGGTGTTAGCTACAGAGGAGGTGATCAACGAGCTCTTCCCACACACGGAGGAGAACTACCGTGACTACCTTCGTTGGTACCTTCCTCGCACTCGTGCGCGTGTGACCTTCACTCCAGACGCCCCAGAGCCGCACGTTGCCGCTGTCACGGACGCGTATCCCACGCACCGTGACCGAGACTACTTCGTGGCGGTACATCCAATTTGTATTACTTCTTACAATTATTTCATTTATCTTGCATAATATAGGACAACTACTGAATTTGTTATTTCCATCTTGCATAGGCTGATGCCGCACGGGATATCAGTGCCGATATCACCGCAGTCCAAGTGAGGTTGAACAGAGGTTTGCACTTGACTGACGTTGAGCAGAGGGTGACCTTCGACCGGATGCAGGAGAAGATGCGTGCGGTCATGCGCGTCTTCTCCTGTCGCAGCGCCGTGGACGTCGTACCTCCAGCTGGTCCGGTACAACCACGGCCTCGCGCGCCTACCGTCGGAGCAGGACCTCGACCTACGGCACCTATTTCGCACGGTACTGCTCAGCCCAGAGGTTTCTTAAGTTTTGTTTCTATTTTTGTACGAAAACATCACCCCGTCATAACTTGATGATCCATCCTCGCAGGACCTCGTTTGCCTTCGAGCGCCCCTAGCTTCGGATCAGTGCGACCTACAGCACCGGTTTCGCACGGTACAGTTCAGCCCAGATATTAGTTCATTTTTGTTTCAGCTTTTGCACGATTATGTCACCATGTTTTAACTGCACGTTTCCTCATCGCAGGACCTCGTCTGCCTTCGAGCGCGTTCGCAGGCACGACCGGCGCTTCCACGAGCTCCGCAGGGGCGTTCGCCACCTCTTCGGGCGCGTTCGCCAGCTCTTCCTCTCACGGAGCGTCGATCTCTCGCCCACACGGTACTTTACTTTTTATTAATACTGTTAAATACCTGTACGAAACTGATGGTCCTTGTCCAGCAGGATTTGCAGCCGGGATCTTCGGTACTGGGGCCTCTTCGTCTCACGCCGGTAGGACTGGTCCTACTAGCCAGTTCTACGACGACGACTTGCACGGTGCAGACCACCACGACGTACTAGGCTCCTCTCAGCTTGGAGGAGCTCCAGAGGCGCACACTCAGGAGCAGCCAGAGGTCACACCTGTACAGGCAGGACGGGTTGGCCGTGCCGTACTCCCGGACCGACTCACGTACTCCCACGGGCACATTAGGGCGCAGGGTAGGAGGGACAGGGGTAAGAGGCCTCGTCAGTAGTGTTCTACCTCTTCAGTCCTTATGTGACCGTTTCTTTTGGCTTACAAACTTGTAAAGCAGTACTACTTTTGCTATTACTACTGCAGTACTACTTGTGTTTGTCTCGTCTACATAGTTCTTTTCATTCATATGGTGCTAGAACAACTTATGCTCACGACAACACACTTTCGGCGCTGCACGGTAGTGTCAGATCCAGTAGCGCGCACAGTCTACAACAGCACACATGAAAAGCGGCAGCTCGAGTTATCACTATCAACTTTCGGCGCTGCCTGTTTACATAAAGTGAATCACGCCCACGCGTGATCGTCTTGTCACATCTAATGAATAATGTATCTCATTGAGTTCACATATATTGCAGTGAAAACGACGCTATATAATTGACAATCTGAAGGCAACCTCTTCATATCTTCTTTCCCACTAGCACACAACACACGAAAATGGAAGCCTATTTATTGGTAATACGTAATCTAGATTTGAGATTATGTAGAACATTCTTCACTACAATTTTACATTTTGGCAGCAAACCAAATATGATCAAATGCAATTTTACCTTACCAAATATTTGGTCGTGAAGAAAAATTTGGCACTAACAATCCAAATATGCCCTAAAAATTAATAAAATATTTGTACGGTAACAAAATATTTGTACGGTAACAATCCAAATATGCCCTAAAAAATAATAAAATTGTATTTTACCAGTCTTGGAGATTTTAATCTTGTATAGTTTTCAATATAAAAAGATTTGATAACTATTGATATTTATACAAAAATATAGAGCACAGTACAAAATCACCCTTGCGGAGGGCGGCAAGGGGGCCGCCTGCAAAATTCCATGCCCCCTCGCCGCCCATTTGCAGGCGGCCCCCCGCACAGTACAAAATCGCCCTCGCGGAGGGCGGCAAGGGGGCCGCCTGCAAAATTCCATGCCCCCCCTCGCCGCCCATTTGCAGGCAGCCCCCCGCACAGTACAAAATCGCCCTCGCGGA